ATTTTTTTTTTTTTTTTTTTTTTTTTTTAGGGATTCTCCGATTAAAATATAAAGATGAGAATTTTCAAGGATACGCCAATTTTCGTCATTTGATAAAATGAGAAAAATTAATAATAATATTTTATTTCACACAGAAAAAATGAATCATACTCAATATTTCTCGATAGAATTTTCTTATGACGTTATCTTAAACTTTAAAAAGAAAAATACCAAATTTTTAATTTGGATAAATATTTAGAAAATTTCTGCTCGAGAATTAAAAAACATCGCCAGAACTGTTTCATTTCTATTTTTAGCCTTTTATGTGTGAAATAAAAATGGAAGTAAGAATATAGGTCTCATGGCTGGTTCTTCTTACCTGGGAGCATTGATGATCGGCCGGCCCATTGCCCGTTGCTGGCGCTTCTCGTTAACGGGAAGGCGCAGATAATCCTGGTCGCCAAGGAGGAAGAGATCCTTTGAAATAATCATGTCCACCGCGGTGGCTGCCGATTAACAGCTGGCCGCCTCTTCGGTTCGGTCTCTTAAATGGGCGATCCGCCTCCTAGACAATGTGGCACGTAGACAACGTGGTCGCCACACACGAGTTAATTAAAGCTTCACTTTCTCGGCACCGAATCACGTTCATCGACGATCAAAACGAGCCTGTTACTCGCCACGAACGCGCACTCGACAGTATATCGCGTATATAATAATAATAGAGCGATTTACCGAAACTCGTGCCGATAACGATTGGTCTCACACGAACGTGAACGAGCGATCGCGAAGTCTCTCTTGTCGGGAAAGAATCGCAGATATCGAACGGAATCCAGACTCTGAAGGTGGATGATTCAGCGGTCGTGATCGAATCTTGATTGTGCTGGTTATCGCAGCTCGATCTTAACGTCTACAAGGGCTATGGGGTGTGCAATTCCTCGTGATGTTTCTTCCAGCACTCAATCGATCTAAACGCGATGACTGAGTTTGATCGAGGAGCATGGATTGCGGGATTCTGGACACAGTGAACGTTCACGTAATCGTCTCGTTGAATTGTGATAGTCTTCTTGAGAGGGGTCCTTTTCCCGGTGGAATCGAGAAAGCTCTTGAGATGTCTCTGACAGAACCGATTGGTCTTTGGAGATCAGAACTTTAAGCCCGTTGTACAATGTGTTACATTGCGCGTTGGATTCCGTGGATGCATTAAAGGAGCAATGCGACAGTTTCTCGATGTCAAACTTTTTGAAAGAACGAATGCTCGAACGAATACACGCGAAAGGATATGGATCGCAAAGTTTCGCACACAAATCAAGAAATTTTTCAATTCGCTATCTTTCTTCCTTTCATGCGATCGAAGTAATAAATGGACGCTTTTTTCTGGAACACAAAATGAAATTGGTACATTATATTTTATCTATACGGATAATCTTACGTATTTGTGTAATTGTTATATGTAAAATCATTACAATTATAATTTATTCATCAGCGTTATTAAATTCCCATTACAAGGCTCGCTTTGTAATATTCATTGTTAAAAAAATTTATTTATGTATGACTCTCTCTTTAAAAATGTTAAAATATTCTCTCTCTCTCTCTCTTGTTAATAAAATGATTTACAAAAGAATTATTCTGTAAATAACTGATAGTTTTGTTCCATTATAATTTGTTTCTAATTTAATCTGAATTTAAATATTCAATAAACTAAACAAAAGATGCTTATGCAAATTTTATCATGAATAATTCAATGTTATTTAAAACATCTTTTACAAACAGAAATAATGTTAAAAATAAATTGGATGAAAATGTGTGTTATATATTTTTGAATATTCCTTTATACATTTAAATAATGAATGTCATTTCCATCAAGACAACGCAAATAAAGATTTATTATTTATATGTTTTAAACGTCTATATATATATATATATTAAACGTTCAATTCAAAACAATTAAATGCTCTTCGAAAGCGTATTCGGATCAAGCCCTAATATTCAAATAAAGCTTTTTTTATTTTTATTGTTTCCGGGCACAATAATTAAAATATATTTTGATTCCATTGTATTCTTGATTAAAAATCTTACATTCGACATCATTATTATAAAGCAATTACATTGCATTATATCGAATTTATATTCTCTGATAGAGCACCACATATTTTGATTAATTTACTGCAATATATTTGTACTACTTAAATACTAAGCAAATATTGCTTAAAAAAAGCGAGAGAACACAATGTCACATCGATTTGCATGTTTTACGTATCGCTGGCAAGAACTCATTTTATATTTGCATCGCGTCAATTTTCGCACACCAACTGTTAAATATTATAGTTACGGGTAAATGAGTGACGCAAACTTGCGATTATGCTGACCAAGATTTTGATACAAGTGTTTCTAATCTACTAGTTTCTTGTTTGACGATCAAGAATCGTCACAATTGAGAGCGTGATTAAATTAAAAAGCGTTCGTTTCGCCAATTGTCTTCGATTTTCTTCGCGACATAATTACTTTTCAATCCGTTACGTGATATGACCTAATTATCACGTAACGCGCAAATGTACAGTCAGATTTCGGGATATTTTCTCTGTCAATATAAATCACGATTAACTACAAACGTCTACGACATACAAATGCAACACTTCTATTAATTTAATTATTCGATAAACAATAATATCAGGATCACATAAAAAATTTTATTTTATTTTTATTTTATAAGAATTAATTCTCTTTTAAGATTCTTTTAAAATATTCTCTCAATTTGTAGTATCTCAAAGATAATTCTAATGTATAGTAAAAAAGGTAAAAGATTTGCAAAGAAAATTGTGTAAACACACAATATCATCGATAAAATTTCATTATAATAAATATAAATAAAACAACACATATTTCGTTACAATAAAATTAATACTCGTACACAGATGATTCCATACAATAAATAAAACAAAGAAAAAATACGATAATTAAATTCTCTTAAATAAAAAATCTTTGTATTATTTATATATCTGAACGATCTATATATCTCTGTAATAAGTTAATCTGTCGAAAGTTTGTTATAACAATATTCTGCTATATTTACGATATTATCCAACATTGTTCATACGTTTAATATGAAAGAGTGGATACGAATAATTATTTTCCCTGAACAGTTGACTACAAATAATGTTTAAAACATTGCGCCAGTGCAATTGCAATACCCCTATTAACCTGGCACCCCCACCACGAAAAATCGGGTTCGGCCATAGTGCATAATTAAGTGCTAATTTGTTGCTAATTTATTGCTCTAAGTTCGAATCTATTGCTCCTACCCGTTAGCAGAAAAATGATATTAAAGATGGGGGTGCTGACTTGCCATTCAGCTAGCACCCACACTTCCGAAAAACACTTATAGCGAGTCGCAAATCATAAAACAAATACACTAGAATTTATTGCTAATGTACAAGAGTAAAGTACATGAACGCAATTAGTTGCTGTTATTATTTTGGTCTTAATATGTTTCTCTAATTTGTTGCTCTCAAGATATATAATATCGAATTTATTGCTCCACGTTTGACTTAGAAAAATCGATCGAATGAGTGGCGGTGCTAGCGTTCGTACAAGAGTAAAGTACATGAACGCAATTAGTTGCTGTTATTATTTTGGTCTTAATATGTTTCTCTAATTTGTTGCTCTCAAGATATATAATATCGAATTTATTGCTCCACGTTTGACTTAGAAAAATCGATCGAATGAGTGGCGGTGCTAGCGTTCGTACAAGAGTAAAGTACATGAACGCAATTAGTTGCTGTTATTATTTTGGTCTTAATATGTTTCTCTAATTTGTTGCTCTCAAGATATATAATATCGAATTTATTGCTCCACGTTTGACTTAGAAAAATCGATCGAATGAGTGGCGGTGCTAGCGTTCGTACAAGAGTAAAGTACATGAACGCAATTAGTTGCTGTTATTATTTTGGTCTTAATATGTTTCTCTAATTTGTTGCTCTCAAGATATATAATATCGAATTTATTGCTCCACGTTTGACTTAGAAAAATCGATCGAATGAGTGGCGGTGCTAGCGTTCGTACAAGAGTAAAGTACATGAACGCAATTAGTTGCTGTTATTATTTTGGTCTTAATATGTTTCTCTAATTTGTTGCTCTCAAGATATATAATATCGAATTTATTGCTCCACGTTTGACTTAGAAAAATCGATCGAATGAGTGGCGGTGCTAGCGTTCGTACAAGAGTAAAGTACATGAACGCAATTAGTTGCTGTTATTATTTTGGTCTTAATATGTTTCTCTAATTTGTTGCTCTCAAGATATATAATATCGAATTTATTGCTCCACGTTTGACTTAGAAAAATCGACCCGAAAGAGTGGCGGTGCTAGCGTTCGTACAAGAGTAAAGTACATGAACGCAATTAGTTGCTGTTATTATTTTGGTCTTAATATGTTTCTCTAATTTGTTGCTCTCAAGATATATAATATCGAATTTATTGCTCCACGTTTGACTTAGAAAAATCGACCCGAAAGAGTGGCGGTGCTAGCGTTCGTACAAGAGTAAAGTACATGAACGCAATTAGTTGCTGTTATTATTTTGGTCTTAATATGTTTCTCTAATTTGTTGCTCTCAAGATATATAATATCGAATTTATTGCTCCACGTTTGACTTAGAAAAATCGACCCGAAAGAGTGGCGGTGCTAGCGTTCGTACAAGAGTAAAGTACATGAACGCAATTAGTTGCTGTTATTATTTTGGTCTTAATATGTTTCTCTAATTTGTTGCTCTCAAGATATATAATATCGAATTTATTGCTCCACGTTTGACTTAGAAAAATCGACCCGAAAGAGTGGCGGTGCTAGCGTTCGTACAAGAGTAAAGTACATGAACGCAATTAGTTGCTGTTATTATTTTGGTCTTAATATGTTTCTCTAATTTGTTGCTCTCAAGATATATAATATCGAATTTATTGCTCCACGTTTGACTTAGAAAAATCGATCGAATGAGTGGCGGTGCTAGCGTTCGTACAAGAGTAAAGTACATGAACGCAATTAGTTGCTGTTATTATTTTGGTCTTAATATGTTTCTCTAATTTGTTGCTCTCAAGATATATAATATCGAATTTATTGCTCCACGTTTGACTTAGAAAAATCGATCGAATGAGTGGCGGTGCTAGCGTTCGTACAAGAGTAAAGTACATGAACGCAATTAGTTGCTGTTATTATTTTGGTCTTAATATGTTTCTCTAATTTGTTGCTCTCAAGATATATAATATCGAATTTATTGCTCCACGTTTGACTTAGAAAAATCGATCGAATGAGTGGCGGTGCTAGCGTTCGTACAAGAGTAAAGTACATGAACGCAATTAGTTGCTGTTATTATTTTGGTCTTAATATGTTTCTCTAATTTGTTGCTCTCAAGATATATAATATCGAATTTATTGCTCCACGTTTGACTTAGAAAAATCGATCGAATGAGTGGCGGTGCTAGCGTTCGTACAAGAGTAAAGTACATGAACGCAATTAGTTGCTGTTATTATTTTGGTCTTAATATGTTTCTCTAATTTGTTGCTCTCAAGATATATAATATCGAATTTATTGCTCCACGTTTGACTTAGAAAAATCGATCGAATGAGTGGCGGTGCTAGCGTTCGTACAAGAGTAAAGTACATGAACGCAATTAGTTGCTGTTATTATTTTGGTCTTAATATGTTTCTCTAATTTGTTGCTCTCAAGATATATAATATCGAATTTATTGCTCCACGTTTGACTTAGAAAAATCGACCCGAAAGAGTGGCGGTGCTAGCGTTCGTACAAGAGTAAAGTACATGAACGCAATTAGTTGCTGTTATTATTTTGGTCTTAATATGTTTCTCTAATTTGTTGCTCTCAAGATATATAATATCGAATTTATTGCTCCACGTTTGACTTAGAAAAATCGACCCGAAAGAGTGGCGGTGCTAGCGTTCGTACAAGAGTAAAGTACATGAACGCAATTAGTTGCTGTTATTATTTTGGTCTTAATATGTTTCTCTAATTTGTTGCTCTCAAGATATATAATATCGAATTTATTGCTCCACGTTTGACTTAGAAAAATCGACCCGAAAGAGTGGCGGTGCTAGCGTTCGTACAAGAGTAAAGTACATGAACGCAATTAGTTGCTGTTATTATTTTGGTCTTAATATGTTTCTCTAATTTGTTGCTCTCAAGATATATAATATCGAATTTATTGCTCCACGTTTGACTTAGAAAAATCGACCCGAAAGAGTGGCGGTGCTAGCGTTCGTACAAGAGTAAAGTACATGAACGCAATTAGTTGCTGTTATTATTTTGGTCTTAATATGTTTCTCTAATTTGTTGCTCTCAAGATATATAATATCGAATTTATTGCTCCACGT